TATATATATATATATATATATATATATATATGTTCAAGAAGTGTCCAAGGAGTGTCGAACACAGACATGGATACGGGAAGTGTCAAATACAAATACCGGAACATAGATGAAGAGTCTGGGTAACCTAGTTAAACATGCATTGTATAATTGAGCACACATCTGAATAATATATATATATATATATATATATGTTCAAGAAGTGTCCAAGGAGTGTCGAACACAGACATGGATACGGGAAGTGTCAAATACAAATACCGGAACATAGATGAAGAGTCTGGGTAACCTAGTTAAACATGCATTGTATAATTGAGCACACATCTGAATAAATGTATGCATATATGTAAGGAGTGTCCAAGAAGTGTTGGGTATGGTACGGGGACAAAATGTGTCGAGTATGGGTTCATTATAGAAGTACCCGTGCAATGTAGATTAGATCCCTTCAAAAAGTTGTTCTTCATTAGAGTGATAACATCCACCCTCAGTGGATAAATTCAAATTGATAAACAGATGAAAGTGCCCCGCTCGGTATGCTTCCTGGAGATCTAGTACAAGCGGGATTGGACTGCTACTGCTGTAAACTTTCTTGATTGAATTCTTATGACCTACACAATGGCTACTGAAGGAAAGATGCAAAGGATTGGAAATCAGCAGTGAATTCTTCCTTTTCAAATTGTTATCAGATGGTAACTTGAAAAGGATAGACGCTCTACTCAGTAGTTAACATCGTCAATGTTCAACCCTCAGGAAATGTTTACACAAAATACCAAAGAAGTCAAATGTAAAATTACTTTGGTGCCAGACGGTGGTGTGTGATACACTATTTTTTTCATCCAATTCCCATCATTAGGAAACATCTGGGGCAAGGTGGAAAGCATGAAATTAATGTTACTGCAGAAAAAAATACTAGGGGAAAACAATGTTTAGCACGGTATTCAAAAAACCATTTTGTTGCAAGGGCTAAGGTGCATCCACAAAAAGAATGAATAACAATAAGTTTAAGTAGCAGACAGAGAGGATGACCGACAATTTAAAATGGCAAACAACATTGAATACATTAAGTTCATGTTCACGGAAAAAAGTAACAAGGTTTTACACTCAAGAAACGACCAGTCACTGGACAAGTCAGATGTGACGTAGGTTTTATAGACGATAAAGAAAAATTTTAAAGTGAGAAATGGAGTGTGGCTATGTTATAAACTGAAGGTAGTATGGTGCTCTTGATGGGATGGAAGAATAAGCTTTGCCATAAACAGTCTTTGGTTTCACTTGTTTAAATCACAAAATTCATTGTAAAACTATTTCCGTTTAAGGTTATTCTGAATTTTGATGATGGAAGCTAAAGTTCAGTTATCCTCAAAAGATGGGCATGACCAACTCAATGATGAAAATATATGCCTACATGACCATCTACCTAAACTCTGTAAAATGGCTTTATTACTACATAGAATAAAATATAGAGGCAGAGAGCCTAGTGTATTAAGAATCACAACTCAAGAGATAGCAATTAGCTATGAATACTTCTCCACATTGACTGCTAGCAATATATGTATGCAACCTAGGTACTATAACTACTGAACTAATTGTTGACCTACAAAGTGATTTACAGGGGAATAAAGGGCAGAATCTACCATATAATTGCTGATGCTCCCCATTACTATTGCCCAATTGCGGATAGATCCCTTGTAGTTCTATCATGAGACCCCGAGTGAATTTTTTTGACATTTTAATTCTTAAAGAAAAGGAAATTTTTTTTTTTTTGACAAATAGACCTCCTGATGGTATTTAAAAAAACTCATTCAGGAGGTCTACTTGCAATAATCAAACTACATGGGCTCTATCCGCAATAGGGCCATTGTTAATTAAGAGATTTATCCGTGATTAACCCTTTAGCAACACCGATGTTCATTAAAATAGTACAGAAAACATTGGAATTCTTCATAACTTACTTTGTTTCGGACTTGTATTCTTCCAAACACTTAACTACTGTCATAAGTGCATGTAGAGCGATTTTCTTCACCTGATACAAATATATAAAAGTTTACTTAGTATTTAAATGGACAGATAGAAGGGTGATAATCCAACAATATAAATACGTAAAAGTTACTTAGTATAAAACTCAGAGAACACCTAATGGAAAAGTACCATCTAATCCGACAATTACCTCAAGTTTGTCTTCTTTAGCCTTGTGCTCATGAGGAAGTTCTCGAAATTCTTTTGTCAGCCTCTCACACTCCGTGATATTTTCCGGGGAGACAAAGTCAAGGGCAACCTTTATACAAGACTGTTGGGAAATAGCAAACGTCTATGTTTTAGGCTCTTGACTCAAAGGTCAAAAACATATTATCTTATAAAACAAGAGTCCTTTACTAATTAAGGAAGAAATGATGCTCCAATTTCACAAAACAGTTTAAAGGAACTTAAGATAATTCAGATTAAAAATAAACTTCAAATAAACTCGTAACTTCAGAAAACAATATTTAGAATAGAATAGATACAATTAGAATTGACACAAAATAATAATAATATAATAATAATAATAATAATAATAATAATAGTTTTAAGAACAAGCACAATGATTACATTGCTATACCTTCAGATTTCTAACTTGATGCGGACATCCAGCTGGGATAAATACTGCTTCACCAATCTTCTGCTCAAATGTCCATGGTTCAACTCCTATAGAAAAACTATGTCAGGATACTGCAAACAATAATGATAGAGATAGAATATAAATAATCTGCTTTTTTTTGTAAATAAAATCTCTGATGTACTAACCATATTCTTCTTTGAGCTTTCTTTTGTGTTCTGAACTTAAATAGAAAGATTGGTCATGAATAGGATGAGCCACCTGATAACAAAATAACATCATGCTTCTCCGGATCAATTTAGTACACAGATGAATATGAAAGGGAGCTTTACCTCCTCTACTGGAGAGCAATACACATCTCTGAATTCTCTACAATGCTTTTTAAGGTACTCTTCAAGTTTTGGAACATCTTCCCTGCGGAAAATGTCCCATAAAGCACCTCCTTCAGAGTGGTTTTCCTTAGTCTGACCATTAGTGACAGGGGACTGATGTGTACTCTCGCTGCTTCCTTCATCTTTCAACCTCTTTTCTCCAGTTTTTCCCCCTTCTCCAGATTTCTTCCTCTTTTCTCCAGCTTTCTTATTTAGTGTAGGGTCTTCACTGCTTTGTTCACAAGAATACTGAGTATTTGAGTCAGCTGTAGCAGTAGCAACAGAACAAAAATTTCCTTGAATTTCACAATTAGAAATTGCAAGACTGTCTGCTTCAACCTTGACAACAGCCTCAGTAGGCCCCTCTTCAGCTCCAATTCCACCATTTAATCCGGTGACAACCTGTGACTTGCTATGTAAAACTTCCTTCCATACACTGCACTGCTCTCTAATATCTTGATCCCTATGTTTCTTTTTTAGTTTTTCAATATAGGCAAGCTGTTGCGCAGAAGGTGTTACTTCTGCAGTATGCATCAAGATGTTCACCTGTATAGTATCATCATAACACAGTACATGAATTCTCAAATTTAAAACAGGTGGTGAAGTAAGTAGACCAAATTGAATATAGCCAAGTTCCGCTTCATATGAGGAAGACAGGCATTAAAGTAAGTCTCATACGACAGAGCATGAGCATCAATTCCGGTAAATACAGCTACTCAGAGGTCCTACGTTCATATACTAAAATAAATGACAGAATGAAATGAAGATGGAAGCAACACCAAGAATTAGAGAAGGGAACAAATCTAAGTGAATTTTTTTAACTTTTGTATTTTGACTAAATATACACTTAGATGTGAGATGACCCCTTCAACTCAATATGCGACGAAAGAAATAATTATGAGTTTAAAGTATTTACATAGTTTGAAGAGTGCAGCTGCAAAACAAACAGGTAGGTGCCATTTGATGTCAAAATTGGCATATTGACCAATTAATTTATAGTAAACGAGAGCGGTTTAAGAAATGACTACGATGGATACAGGTGGTAAACTAAAAAAGTGCATAGCACTAAATAGATCAAAAAAATACAAGATACAATGTAACCCTTCAACTCAATGTGTAAACAAAGAAATCAAATTAAGTTTTAATGGATGCATAAAGATAGTTTTACTGGGTACAACTTCAAAATTGATAGTATAACTAATTACTTTACATGGGTGTGATTTCAGAAATGAATGTCATGAATAATAACATGAACTACTAAATTTCATAGTTAAGAAAACATAGGTCAACCAAACTGCCAATGGCAGCAAAAAGAAATTTAAAAATAAGGTAGCTGGCCTTGCTATGGATCTGTCACTGACTTATAGACTTTATGCTCCTAGACATTTAAGAAATGACTACGATGGATACAGGCGATAAACTAAAAAAGTGCATAGCACTAAATAGATCAAAAAAATACAAGATACAATATAACCCTTCAACTCAATGTGTAAACAAAGAAATCAAAATAAGTTTTAATGGATGTATAAAGATAGTTTTACTGGGTACAACTTCAAAATTGATAGTATAACTAATTACTTTACATGGGTGTGATTTCAGAAATGAATGTCATGAATAACAACATGAACTACTAAAATTCATAGTTAAGAAAACATAGGTCAACCAAACTGCCAATGGCAGCAAAAAGAAATTTAAAAATAAGGTATTCATAGTTAAGAAAACATAGGTCAACCAAACTGCCAATGGCAGCAAAAAGAAATTTAAAAATAAGGTAGCTGGCCTTGCTATGGATCTGTCACTGACTTGTAGACTTTATGCTCCTAGACATCTAAGAGTCCAAAAAAAGCAAGGTCACTTATTCTTGGAGCTCTCTTTATCATTATGATGTGAATGATACACATTCACATTCCAGCAAACATAAACCTGCAAACAATACATATAGAAAGTCTGTGTATTGATGATGATGATGATAAATGATCTAAAAAACTCATGATTTCCCAAGTGATATCCCCAAAAGGTTGGAAACTAAACAATACCATTGAACGATTGCTATAGGTACAATTATTAATCTACATAAAGAGCCATGAACCAAATACACCTTAAAAACAATTATATTCTTGATGATTGTAGTTGTAGCTGCAGTTTAAAATTTAAGAGTGGTTTTTTATTTTTTTATCTATTTAGTGGAAATCTTTACAAAAAGCCACAAACAACAGCTGATGCCTGCAGACAATAAAAGAAATGTTTGAAAGTCAGCAAGCTTAAAAAAAATTCATCAAGCCAAATATGTTAATTATAGAAAAGTTCTATTTAGTTCAAGTCTAGCACGCAACTGTTGTTACTTACCTAGTAGGATATTGAAACCAGTGATTAAACTTTAATAAAAACATTATACACTAAAAGAAATGTAATATGACAAATATCTAGATAACTTTCTAATATAGAAAGTCAACTAAGTTGCATGGGTAGGTAAAATAAAAGACACGGCAAATTTGTAAGATGAAAGGTACGAGAATGGGTGAAACACACACATGCACGCACGCATGTGCATCCACACACACACATTCAACTGTTATGCCCGTGCCCGCATGGATGAGTTTGCTTTTCTTTTTTCGACTAAAGTCGAGGAAATAAAATAACTTGGGGAGCAAATTTATAATTATCATGATTTGGGGACAAATTTAAAAATACCAACAATTTAGGAGGTACATATTGAAAAAATTAAAAAAATTAAAATATGGGTAAATTTCACTAAACACACAATAATTTTAAGTGTTTGGACTGAATCCCGAGTATTTTCAAAACTCTCATTCAACCCCAAATAACTTTTGATGAAAAATCCTCAAAATTAATATCGTTAGTTCCCGTGTGGTGAAATGATCAAAATACCACCCAATAAATTTTAGCAAGAACCCTAATATGTTTTACGTTCTGTCACTTAACCCCGAATAATTTTTTAGGAGAAAACCCCCAATAACGGATGTTTATAATTCTTCGATTTATCAGAGGTTTGTTTGTAATTTTTGGACTCTTCAATAAGTTGATTGTAACGTTTAGACTTTTCAGGGATTTGTTTGTAATTTTCAAAGTTTATGGGTTTTTTTTGTCATTGTTAAAATTTTAGGTTTTTTGTAAATTTCTAGATCATTTGTAATTTTGTAATTAAAGGGCATGTTTGTAGTTCGAAATTTTTATGGGGCTATTTGCAATTTTAGATTTTTTAGGGTGCTACTTGTAATTTTCTATTGGGGTTTTTTCTAGTTTTCAAATCTTTCATGTGTTTGTTTAAAGTTTTTTATTTTTCAGAGAGTTGTTTGTAAGTTTCAGATTTTAGAGGGGTTATTTATACTTTTTGGATTTTTCAGGGAGTTGTTTTACCTTAATAGGGTTTTTTGTAATTTTCATATTTTTCATGTGTTTGTTTAAAATTTTGGATTGTTTAGGGAGTTGTTTGTAATTTTTAGACTTTAGAGGGGGTTGTTTGTAGTTTTTGGATTTTTTAGCGGGTGTTTGTAAATATGAATTTTTAGGGTAAATTGTAATTCTAGATTTTAGGGTCTTTTTGCAATTTTTAGATTTTTAGTGGTTTTTTCGTAAACTTAAAATTTTTAGGACTATATGTATTTTTTTATTTTTTAGGGATTTGTTTGTAATGTCTTGATTTGTTAGTAGGCTTTTCTATAATTTTTAGGAATGAAAAGGGGATTGTTTGATTTTTTGCGTGATGTTTGTAGTTTTAGATTTTTTAGGAATTCATCTGTAATTTACATATTTTGTAGGGTTATTTGAAATTTTATTGGTTAACTATCAAATAAGAATGATTTGAGGGGTATGCACTGGGCTTGAGGGTCAATTTTTGTCAATGTAAAATGATGGGGTAACGCTATTGTACCGGATAAGTACAAAACATCAATTTGTTTTGGTGGTCTTATGAAATTATCAAATCGATAGGTTTATTGAAATCTACACCTTTAAAAAATCGAGGGCTACTTGACAATTTTGTTAGGTTTTTAAATTATAGGTAGTTATAATTTAATTAGGATCAAAAAAGATTTTAGGGGGTTTAGTCTTTTAATCCAAAGTTTTACCCCCACTTATTTAAAAACCCACCCACTTCCATAACCACTCATACCCCCCAAAGTATCTCATATGATTTATTATTCTCAAACTTAAATTATGACTTATTTTTAAACCCAACATGTAGTATACCCTCAAAATTCATACTGGATCTCCCAAAACAAATCTAAAATTCTCCTTTCCTCTCTTCTTCTTAACGATGATCTCACTTCACCCCCATCGCATTAATGATGATGCAGGGAGAAATTTATTCTTGCGTGTTGCTCCCCTCACTCCCCAAAACCCAATTTATTTATCTTCTTCAAAATCTCTCTTTCCTCCATTAATTTTCTTCCTTACTCAAAAATCATTCTCCTGCGTTAATATTTCTCATAAAAGACAATAATTTGATTTTTAATGTGATTTCTATTTGCAATCATTAAAATTTTTATCATTAAAATGTCACATGAGGATGTATCTTTTTATCCAACTTAGCTCACTCACATCAATAGTTGAGATTCCTCCACCTCACTACAATGCACCAAACTTAATGCTTGGTATCTTTTATCCAACTTAGCTCACTCACATCAATAGTTGTTGAGATTCCTCCACCTCACTACAATGCACCAAACTTAATGCTTGGTATATCACGCACGCACGCACACACACACATATGTGTGTGCGCGCACACACACACACATATATATATAACCTTAATACCAAGGACAAAATTGGTCAATGAACACACACACACATATATATATAACCTTAATACCAAGGACAAATTTGGTCAATGATAGTAAGATGATGACTAAAGCTTAACCACTCATCTTAGTGGTCCCCACTTGAAAATGATGCCCTCCAACCTATGTGCAAGCGATGCCCCTTTGAATGTATGGTTGAAAAGGAGCTCCCTCACTACTAAGAACCAGACATTGTCCAGGTACTAAGATTATCCATATTCTTTATGATATATATATAGAAAGGAAAAAGTGTTTCTATTATGACACCTTAGAATCAATCTAAGGAAACTCCTCTTGATCCATAGATTATTCAAACTGATGGTATACATCATGATCTAAATATCCCAAAATCATGATGTTTCAATATTTCTAGCCTATATTTTGCATCACCTCTTTAGTTTTATTATTATAAAACCGTTAATTTAACAAGTACTTGATACATGAACATTTTAACCATTAATATATGATTCTAAGGAGCCACACGTGAATCAATCTAAGGATGCACCTTCAAAACTAGATTATACAATCAATTTACTTGATCCACTCCGTTCATTTCAATCTATATGTTTTTTATTGTGTATAATAAAAATATTAGGCACATTGGGTACTAATTACTCATGCTTCAAGTAATTGTTAAATTAACGATTTTATGACAATATAACGAAAGAGGCAATAAAAATATTGGCTAGAGGTATTGAAACATCATGACTTGTTTTTAGATGTTTTGCGACATTTAGATCATGACGA